CTAATTTGTATATTCATTTATGTTGTTAGAACGGTCAAAATACAAAATAGCAGTTATGACTGATATTTGAAATAACGGTTATCATGGTGGTATAGTGGTCCAAAAATAGCACTTCATATAATATTTCTTATAATTATATAATATATATATACATATATATATATATGTCTCTGTGTATGTATACATAAATATATTATATGCATTAATTAAAAATGTAGTTTCAACATCAAAACATCAACTTAAACAAGTTTCACAAAATAAAATAGGAAAAGTGTTCATAAGCGATGATAGGAAACTCGAACAGTGTTGAAGAAGGCTGACTGTTGAAGATGATAGAAAGAAACTGAAAACCTAAGATTCTAAGAATTTCTAAACCGGATGCTAGATTATATTAGTTGATTCTTAATGGATAAAAATAAAATAAGGGTCCAAAAATAAAAGCCCAAGTCAAAATAAAATCCCAAAAAAGACAAAAATGTAAGCATTTGATTCAGAAGAGGCCCAACTGAAAATATCGGTATTGCGAACCGGCATTTACCACAAAAATCGGTGAAATAGCGATAAATTCCACCACTATTTCACCATTGTTGTTTTGTTTGTGACCGATAACCGCTATTGCATCGCTATTGCACCACAATTAATTGCATCGATACTCATGTAGCTTGAAAATTGTTATTTATATAAATGAAGGATTTATTGATTAAATTTGTACTTCCTTCTTATCGATGATTACAGTTTTTGATACAAAAAGTTTGCGATCTTTTAATAATTTCTTTATTGAACCTATTGTCAATCAGATACCCTCCAACATCTATATATGCATTACTTCTTTTATATTTCTACTTAAGTTGTTTATTGTAACCATAATGTACACAATATTTAAACAAGCCGGTCTTATTACATGCTTGTGTGAATTTGTTTTGCACTCATGGTGTATAAAACCTTTTTATGTAAATTTTCCACGTGTTATCAATTAGGTTGTCTTATGATACATTGTTTGTAGGTGTTCAAAAATACTACAAGATTGGATATGCTATTAAATTGCTCATTTGAGTAGTTTATATTTCCTTTATTTGCACTCAGTATAAAGATATGACAAAATCTAGGCCTTGTGGTGGTGGTGGTAGCACTTCCACTCGTGGAGCCAAAAGTTGTGTAGACCGTTATGCCAGACGTGGTGGTTTAACTTATTCTAACTCTTCTGGTATATGAGTATTACAATTTTGAGAAGTCGTCATTTCTTCGGTTCCGTGAAAACTTGACTAATAATTACATATAGCTTCTCGTTCTGTGCATTCTCTTTTAGGATTTGGTGGATTATATGGGAAAGTTAAAGAGGGAAAATGGGACGAATTCTTACACCAGGTCATCTGCATCAGCTTATGTAGTTGTAACAACTAATGCAAATTAAAGTTCCCAAACTTCTATGTAGCAATGTTATAAAAAAAATTGTTGGACTACTGTTTTACAATTTTAAGTCATACCATTATTGATTTTGTTCTCCATCTCTCTTTATTTTGGTTACATTCTGCGTCTTCTACTATCTTTTTTCTTTTCTTGATTTTGACTTGTGTTTTTATATGCGAAATTAAAGCAGATGATAGGAGCAACCGTTGTTGAGATTAGCTATTACATAAGAAGTAGAGCTCAATTTTGCGACTCTGTAATCTGGCACCAATAGTTCTGCTGGTTTTTTGATTAAATTTGTTATCAGCTATATAAAAAAACGTATTTTCTTCATTTCATTTGCTTAGTACAATTGTGTTGTTTGTTTGACGAGGGAAGGCAGTGAAGATTGTGGGGTTTTAGGTTCTCAAAATCTGAAATCTAATAATTTATGTAAATAGTAACAAAGTGATCTATTCTTCTCCTTTTAGTTCTTTATTCTAATACACAAAGAATAATTAAAGAAAATTATAGTACATTAAAACGACAACATATATTCGTGGTTAGGAAAATAGAGATGGTGGGCAAGAAATTCACCCTACTACAAAATAGACAAAATGATAAAATGGTTTGACTTATAAAAATTTACCTCCGACTGCATTATAACAGACTAGAAAGGGTACTCGCGCAATGCAGCGAGATAAATCTCGATTTTACTATTTAGTTTTTATTCTGTCACTATCTATAATACGATTTTATGTGATTTTGACAAAATAGACAAAATGATAAAATAGTTTGACTCATAAATTTTTACCTCTAATTGTATTATAGCAGACTAGAAGGATACTTGTGCAATACAGCGAGATAAATCTCGATTTTATTGTTTAGTTTTTATTCTGTCACAATCTATAATACGATTTTATGTAATTTTGAGAAAACGATAATGGTTTAATTTTGAATGAAATATAAATTTGAAGATAGCAAAAAAAATTAAAAAAATAAATCAATATAAATATCAAATTAACTATTTAATAATTTCTCCTTTTTATGTAACTTTTTTAATTCAAATTTTTATTATAATTTAATTTAGATTTAATAATA